CTAGTCCGAAGTCGTCTGCCATAGTAGTTGTCATGACTCCCAGCAACTGACAGTGGACTTGATACATTCTTAAACGTTTTGCCGGCATCGTAGTCGGCATCATCAGTGAGCTTGCCATTCTCCGCACCAAGCTACGAATTCGTCAAAGAGACAAGTGAAGTCAATGCCTCGACAACCGTTCTGCCGAAAACGGTTACAATATCAATCCTCTTTCTGTCATTGTCTATCTATCTACTCTTTACACTCTTATCCCACTGGTGCCCTATCACAACTTCTCACTTGTTTACATTGCAATCGTCAAAATCGCCACAAAAGGGCACACATTTTGACGATTGGAATGTAAACAAGTGAGAAGTTGTGATGGGGCGGCAGTGGGATAAGAGGGTAAAGAGTAGATAGATAGACGATGACAGAAAGTGGAGTGATAGTGTAACCGTTTTCGGCAGAACGCTTTTCGAGGGATTGACTTCACTTGTCTCCTTGACGAGTTCGCAGCTTGGGGCGGAGAATGGCAAAGCTCACTGATGATGCCGACTACGATGCCGGCGAAAAGTTTGAGAATGTATCAAGTCCACCGTCAGATGCTGGGAATCATGACAACTACTACGGCAGACGACTTCGGACTAGGTGCATTATACATAGTCGCCCTGACAACAAGACCAAGTTGCGACAACGAGGTCAACCCACTTCTATGATCGTTGAGTGTCCCACAATAAGATGAATTTAATACATTTCATCTAATCTTTGCTTCTCAGCAGGTTATCTCAACCCGACTAAAATGGACTGTAGTCTCGATCTCACCTTGCCGTCTCAGCAACACCCCCAGACGGAATTGCTAACCGGTCATGAGTATTGTAGCGAAGTTACCGCTTCAGAGCAAGCCAAACCTCTCTCGGCTCAGGTACGGGCATCGAATCCCGCTGGGAGTGCTGAAGAAACTTTCAAGCGAAGCCGAAAATGTAGTCCAGTCCAGTTCAGTATGGTACAGATGAAATGGCCTTTTGGAAGGTGAAGTCGAGGGACACCATCTTATTGTGAGAAAACTTAACGATCAATCCTTAACACACTTTAAACCACCCAAACTAACTAAAGACCTTATTGAAAAATTATTGATAACCTCGTAGATTGATCACATCGAAATGATCAAATAAACATAATACAATTTGAGTTCACCCCTGATAGTATTATTTCCAAATACCACTTCTTAATTCCTCTTAAGCGACCGCCGAACAGAAAAAGATGACTATACTCGTCAAATAAAGAACATTGTTGAGTTTACTTCCATTTCGAGTGAAAGTATTAGTTAAAGAGATTCGGAGGTTGGTTCCACCAGAAGACGATGGCGGATTCCTCTTGACCAGCTGTCGATTGGCTTTACTGGAACATTCATGCTGACGCTGTTTCTGAGGTAATCTTCTTCGATTCCGGTCAAAAAGTGCTAAGCTTTCGTCCGTCATATGATGAATATCATCAGAGCAAGGTATCATCATCACAACAAAGTTCAAGCTAACGAGTCAAGAAAACTCACCGGCAAATCCCTAAAAAGTGATATACTTGATCAAAGAGGCCAGATTTAAAGTTTATATACCGTCGTCTTCTGGTGGAACCGATCTTTGGATCTCTTCATCCAACAATTTTA